CTTACTCTGCTATGTCCAAGCCCCTTCCTGCTGCCACATGGGAGCTGCACCACATGCCAGGGGTACTCATTGCCAGGGGAGCAGAACAGGGTTCCTGCTCCAAGCATTTCCCTTGCACACACTCTTTCATGAGCGTGGTTTGGGAAGCTGCCCGAAGCAGTTGGCCAAGATGATAGCAGAATGTCATTCGATTCTGCATCACTGAGCTGATTTCTTTCCAAAACAGCATAGGTTGTTTCTTCTTTTGGGTTGATGTGGGTTTTTTTAACCTTTTTGCTATTAAGAGGGCTTGGCCATTTCACACTTGCAGGATGTGGCCCCTTTTGTGTCTGTTTGCTTCTTTTGCAGTCCTATTGAACAGACCCAGGTCCCCTGAGTACACAATCTCGTGTGTGGACAGCTGGCTCCCTCCAGCCCATCCCACGGAGCAGGGCCTGCATTCCTGCTGGCTGTGGCCTCACCAGGGCTGTGCAGAGAGGCAGGATCACCTCCCTGAGCCTGCTGCTGACACTTGGCCTCGTGCAGCCCAGGAGAGAGTTTGCTGCCTTTGCCATGAGGACAGGTTGGTGACTCACCTTCAGCTTGGTCCAGATCCCAACCCCCAGGTCCTTTTCTGCCAAGCTGCTTTAGTTGTCCTAGCTTGTACTGGTGCCTGGGTTTTTCCTCCCCAGATTCAGGACTCTGCACTTCCCCTTCCTGAATTCCTCACAGATGAAAACCATTTACAGGTGAAAAGAGTGGCACACAAACAATACAAAAAATGACTTTCCCTCTTTGTTTTTAAGAAATGTTTGAGATTGGTTTGTGCTTTGTTTTTTTCCCCTCATCATTGTCTGACCCAGTGAACTTTTGGTAACTATTTTGTTCATACATGTTTTCTTCCAAATAATTCTCTCTCTAGATAAGCATGGCCTGGAGACACTTTATCCTGGTATTTTTGATGTGGTTCAGACCATTAAAAGGACTGGAATGTGGAATAAGCTATAGTGGGCAACACATATGCCAAGCAGAGTGAGCAAGCCCCCATCCCAGCAAGTCTTTCATACACGGGATTAATTTCTTGCCTCTTTAACAAAAAAGCCATAAACATCAGGTGTTTTCATTCAATTTGCACTGACAGCTTCGGACCCTTCAGGCCACTTGCTTTACACAGATGAACCACTTCACACCCAACTGTTTCTTGCAGTAAGGTGAAGATGTGATGGCCATCGCTTCCAGAAACACCTGGGACCCACTTTTTGTTTGGTGTTTGTTCTCCAGCCTTGTGTAGATGGAAATTTAAAGTTGCGGCAATGACAGGATTTCCATGCCCACTCTTTGATATGACTGACTGCAGTGTGGAATGGGACCAACCAATTCTGCTTCTTGAACCAAAATCCATCTTGGTGCACAACTGGCTCCTATTTTGGGAGGTTATAACCAGCAAAATGTTCCTCTTTCAAGAAAGGCACGCTCCTGCCCACCTCTGTACCTGGGCAGCAGGTAAAAGTATAAAAATGGGGATAGGTAACTTTGCCCTGATACAGTAATGTGGCTCTGCTGCAGGGAACTTCCCGAACCTCTGAGGGTCAGCAGGAGCTTTGACCATCATCATGTTTTTAAACTGCCAGTTGTGAGAAGAGGTTTTGGGAAAGACAAAGGGAAGACACCGTGGCACTGTCCCTCTTCCCAGCCACTACAGGAGCAGGGGGCCACAAGCCCCTGTCTGCACCATTTGCAAGCAAAGGCAGCTGTACATGGACGACTCAGGGTGCCGAAGGGGTCAGGTGGCTCAGGTATCATCAGCACAGAAGAGATTCTCTCCCACCTCCCCCTCTCCCCCCATATTCTCACCAGCCCTTTATTTTATACCAGGCTGTCATAAACCCACCTAAAGAATTAATTTATTTCAACACAAAGTAGCCACTAAGTGAAGCAATGTAATTTATTTGACATTATACCAGACACAGGTGCTCCAGATCCAGACTTGATCTTAAAAACAATTTAAAATCCTGGATTTGCTGTATTGGAGGTATCAGTTACCCATCTGAGAGCCAAATGTGTCAGTATTACAGCCACTGAAACAGAAAACTAAGTACAGGACGAGTCAAGCTAGCAAGCACCATCAGTCAATTTCAGCTGTGAACTCGCTTCCAGTTTCGGGGCACTGGAAGAAATGACAAGGCTGTTGGACAACTTCACAAATATTTCAGTATAAAGCAGCTCTCAGTTACTCATGTCAGTGTCTAACTACACGAACTGGGGAAATTGGGCTTTTTTTAAACTCTGAATTAATGTCAGGCTAAGGCCTGCAGGAGAGAGACTGGGGAGTGCTCCCTCTCCCTCACCCCTCTTAAAAAATGAGGTACCACAATACGACACAGCTCCTGATGACAGTAAAATTAAACAAAAAACCCAAACAACATCTTACACTATTAAACAGTGCAGCACTATCCCAGCTGGCAGAGCCTGCCCAGAAACCTGCAAAACCTGCCCAGGGACAAACCCGCACCTGAAGATGTGACACAGATCTGAAACACAGTGTTACAACCAGCTCCACAGCAAACTCACTGTTCCTTGCTTCAGCTGTGCAGCTGCTGTCTTCAAATTGCTTTACTTCATTTAACAAACGATAAATGCAAAAAAAGTGAAGTTTGTACTGGTAGTAAATCCATAGTCATCATCACTCCTAGATTCTTCTAGAGCTGAGCAGCAGGGCAGTGCCATTAGCCACCAGGCTCTCACCTCCATGTGCATGAACCAACTCCAGTTTGAGGTACAGTTTAAAATGTACAAAGATGACATGAACATAAGTGGTGCAGGGAATTCCAGAGAGAACTTCTCTGTGGTACTGGCTTTATTTCTTCAGATGCAGCCTTTGAAAGGAGACGAGGTGGTGCAAGATGGTCAGGCCAGCACATGAGGCAGTCTAGTTGAAATAATACAAGCTTCCATTACACAACTTCTATTTACAGTTTTCTTCTTCAAAAATTTTTAATGTGCACCATGAAAATTATCATCCCTTTCTCTCTTGTTACTGACATGGAGGCAGCAAACCCTGTAATCTTAGAACAATCTGAATTGCCAGAAATAAAATGAAAACTGTTTTCAGGGAAACATGCATTTATTGTTAAGCATTCCCAGTGAAAAATCAACATCTTTTAAACTGCGTGTTTATTTAAAAAATCATTTGTGTACAAAAGTGTTTGTGTAGTTTTGATTTTCAAGACAAAAAACACTGATGATGCATTCCAGCCTCCCCACCTGTTCCACCTCCACAGGAAGTCTGGTACTCAGGAACCAACCTCCTGCAGTACTTCGAGGTAAATATTTACTAGAAAAGTCAGAATTTAAGATGGAAAAGTTAAGTGAAAAGCAGGGCTCTTCAGCAGTTGACATCCTATGATGGCAGCCTTCTTCAGGCACTGCACCAGGGCAGCAGCAGTTGCTGCAGGTTGTACATCACACAAGCACAGCATTGTCACAGAACATCTCGTCTGTCGAGCCATGATCTGAACTTACATTATCAGTGAAGGGCTCAGCACCGTGAGCAATCCTGGAGCCAGTTTGATGCCTACAAAGCAGGTAACAGCAGAGCACAGTACAGGGCAAATGATTCACAAGGGTTTGTCCAGTGAGAACAAATCCAAAGTCACATTGCTGCCAACAGAGCACTGCAGCTGGAACAACCAAGCCAGAAGCCAAATGCATTGACAGTTGGGCTTGTGAGTCTGATGATGAATCAGCTGATGACGAATCAGCTGATGACACAAACACCACAAGCAGGAAGAGCTACCTACATCATTCAGATCAGAAAACTAGCAAGAAAGAAGTGATTGCCCCTTTGCCTAGCCCTAGGAGAAAGCTGTGCCTGGAAAATGAAGATGGTAACACTGAAAACATCTATTTGGTCTTCCCAGAAGAGGCTCTAGGCACCCACAAGTATCTTGACTTTCATGCTTTAGTTCCATGATGCAACAGATGCTGATGAAATGCACTTTTGCTTTCTTGTTGAGCCAGCTGCTCATCAAAACCACACAAAACTAAGCACCTGGTCACAAATCAGTGCCCCCATTCATCAGCTCTGTCAACAGAACAGCAGGAGAGGACACCTCATCTTCTCATTGCCTCTGCTCATCAGCATTTAAGTAAAACCAATTTATTTGCTAAATAATTTAACATTTCCCACTTCAGGCAAGCCTCCAAGTCTAAGCCAGCTTTTGGTGGTGTTTCAGAAGGGAACAAGGGACATTCACAGTTGACTTCTCCTGCACTAAAAACGGAACTTCCCGACACAGTGCATGACCAATGCAGTAAACAAGAACTCTTGCTTGAATCTGTGTTTTGATTTCCCCCCACTCCCCTTCTCCTTTCCCAAATGACATAAGCAATCCATAAGCTCTGAAGTGCCTAGTCTGAGTCACAGCTGTTAGGCTTAAATTTGCATAGTTTAAATGTTTCTGTTACCCACACCAATATAATGCAGATTTGGTGTTACAAGGTAAGATTCTTTCTGGCTATTTAATTCCTCCTTTCAGACAACAACAAAAGAAGTTTCTATATTCCTTATGTCAGTGTTCCAATACTAATTTACATGGAAAACAGTTGAATACAGTGATAATTAGAAAAAAACTAAGACATATTCATACACCAGTAGTACCTAATTGCTCATAAATACTACCGAACCAATTATAGTCAAGGCCCCATGTACTCTGTTGCAGCTTTAAACAAAATAATAAAAAAAAAAGTTTGGAGTATGCAGAATGTACTAAACGATGCATCTTCTCAGGATATGTTCCTACGGTTTTTTGTCTCCAAAATGCAACAATTTGTCACACTGAGAACACAGTTTGTTCATAGAAGGAATGGGAGGAAGCTGTAAATTTGGCAACAGGGTGGAAAACAGTCAGGGCTTTTGGTACTCATGGAAAAATGGAGGCTTTTGGCAACAGGAAAGGGCATTTCTCTACCTCTGAACAAAGCTGGACTTTGCTCTTGGAGGAATTAGGTAAGATAGGATAAACAACTTTGCTGGATGCACATTAAAATATTCAGCAGTGAAATCCAATGGATGCTCTGGTAATCCTTAAGTGTTACCAATTGTATTACCAAGTATTACCAATACCTTATTTAGAAAAATGGGGCCATTTAGACTTCAAAATGACTGTTTCAAGCCATCTTCTGGCACAATAGAGGAAGACAATGCATGATTTATTTGTACTTAGCCACTGTACTCATGTTTCATGTTCTTGTTGCAAGGAGTGGTAAATGTGCAGCCTGAGTCCACAGCTGAAGTGAGCTGCACGGCAACTCCACGACTGTGAATGCACAGGGCCCTGAATATAGCGATGTTCAGTGATACAGAAAACAGAATTACCATTTGTATGTACAATGTCTCACAATGATAAGCTGAACACTAACAGCAAAATTCCTAGGGCTCAGCCCTAGCTGCAGTTAAACTAAGCTCATACAACATTATCCCTATATTCAGCTCTGATAATTACCAAGAATACAAAAACATTCCTTATAAAGGAGTCACAAGTCAAAATTCAGAGGGACTTCAGACCAAAGATGTCTCCTTAATACTGGGTCATGTTTCTTTCCCAGGTCACTTCTTGAGAAGCTTCCTGCCAGCACCTGAGCTAGCATTAAGCTACCAAGCACATGGATGGAGAGCAAAACCCAGAACCCAACATTTAAACATAAGAGGGAATGGAAAGACAAGTGTTTTGCAGTAGAGAAGGAACTGAGGTAACTCGTGAGAGAAGTAAAACTTAACAGGGCATTTTTTCAGAGATGACAGTGCTCACCTAGGAAACTCTTTTCCCCCTCTCCCCCTTTCCTTGGCTTCCTTTATCACTTTACATACTGTTGAAGAAGCCTGGTGTTCTTAGGAGACTGGTCTTACTGAAAGACACGTTCAGAAGCCCATTACTGAGAAGTTTTATGTCCCCGACAATGATTTCCGAGTTCTTTCTTTTGATAAATAGCAGCGAAGAACAAGGGAAAGTAGTCAGCAATTCATATTTACCACCAGGGTAAAAAAAAAAAAAAAAAAAAAAAAAAAAGGTGTTGATGTAATCAAGAAGTTCTTAGCCTGTATAACAGAAAAGACAGCAACTTGAGATTAACACAAGTAGCATTTTGCCAGTTTCCTACCGTCCCTGGTTTTCACTTTAGCAAACCAGCTGAACAGTAGCAGCTTTTTGTTAAAAAAATAAATAAATATAAGGAAAGTCAAAAGAACTCATTTCCTTTGGCATCATTGCAAATGATTTACACTAACTCAAGAAAACCCAAGAAAACTGATCACTGACTACACCTTAAAAAGCAGTAAGTATAAAGACTAAGCAAATGCATTTAGTATTGCACTGATATGAGTTCAAAGTATTTACCATCTGTGCCCTGTTTTAAGTTTGGACACATCAGATAGAGCAGTACAGGGAACATCCCAGAACTGGCCAGGTCTTGACAGCTCTGTTTTCTGGTTTTGTTCCCCTACTACTATGTTCCAGGTATTTAACAGATACCACAATGTTCCTGATTTCATCTAGTATGAGTTATAAACAGACCATGAAGTGCAAAACTATTTCAATTTGTACTTCACAGCTCTAGAAAAACCCCAAGCAGGCATATATTTTCCCACCCCATTAATCCACAGCCTAGGAGAAAAAAAAAAAAAAAAAACAAAAACAGAGTAAAACAAAAGAGTCATTGAAAAGATGACTGATACAGTACTCCATTATCCACAATCCCCACTCTCTAGTCTCAGGATTTCTCTGAACTTCCTTGTCAGATATATTCTCAAAAGTTAGCATCATATTCACAAAGACATTACAGCTCTCTTTAAATAGATGTACTAGTGTTTGAAGTTGCAAGACTAATAATTTTCAAGCTTTTGCACTCAGGATGAAATGTCATTTTAATACAAATAAAAAGACTGACTGTATGTACAAGCCAAGGTAAGATTTCAGTTCTCGTTTATCAGAAACATCAATCAAAAAAAAAAAGCTAAATTGAGAACACACTTCTACTTCTATGTGCATCTGAAGTATGTACAGTAAAAACACCAAAACAGCCTCCATGTGTTAAACAGAGAAAAATGCAAGCAAGGATGAATTTTAAAGTACCTGGTAAGCAATCCTTAAACTGAAGCCCAAAATAAAGCTAGAAAACTGCTGCAAAAAAACAGCTGATTGCATCATATCAAGTACTCAAAACAATTTTTTTTCATTCTCAGTACATTGGAGAATCAGTTTTGTCCTCCTTCAAACTCTGTGAAATCATATTATCCAGAGTGTACTGAAGAACATTTTACAGCTATTTAAGACAAAAAAAGGAAATTAAACCAGCTCCATCTTTTTGTGCTGTATCGAGGCATACTCCTTACATGATTGTGTAGAAAATATGATGGATGAAAATCACTACTGATAATTCAAAATATATATTTTTAAAGGGGAGCCTAGACTACTGCAATGGCACACATAATAGCCACAGATGATGAAACATAATCAACAGTATGATGTAAGGGAGAGGAGAATCAGGTTTCCCAATTAATAAGCTAGAAAGAAAATGGTTCTGAATAGGTCACCATTTGGAACTTTGGGTAAGTCTTGAAAGTCTGTCAGGAAAAAAGTTACAAAAGCAATCGAGTATTTCAATGGTGCTCTCTTCAGCGACCCTACCTAATATGTCTATTAAGTACAAGCATGCAAATATAGGTCAATCCACAGGCACATAGGATCCATGTTAAAAACAGTAAGATAACTGTGATGAGTGGCACCAACAATTTTGATGACTAACACTCAAAATGTTGCTTTCTGAATTACTAAATCAAAATCCTGAAGCAAGTTCCTGCTAGTCTTTGTCACACTGCTAAACACTAAAGTAGGCATTGTTTTCTCCCATTATCTTAGCTGAGCTCAAAGAATTTTTACAATATTTAGTAAGAAAAAAAATTAAAGTATTTTCCCTTTTTAAATTTACACAGACGTTTAATTAGCTTTATTTACAGAGCGCTTTTTTTCAGTCTCCAATAGTGCCTAGATAGCATCATCAGGCAAGAGTGCCAGTTTTGAAAGAGAATCTATATAGAATCCTAGGAATAAGATGGTGATGCTCCTCCAGAAGGGGCAAGCTGGACTATAGAAGCAGCTCTCTCTATATGGCTCAGTTACTCAGGAGTAATTCTGTTGCAGTCTCTACATCCCATGATTTTGAAGACAAGGCCACTATTACTGCATTCTGCAATGAGAAAACAAAAGCAATCATATTTTCAGTGTGTGAATCTGCAGCTCCAGGAAGTGGGATGAAAAGTTCACAGAAAATCAAAACACATTAGTTGACCATTTCTTAAATCCCAACTAATAATTGAGAGAAAAATGGTTTCAAAAAGACAGGGGTAGCTCACAAGATTTATCTGTAATGTAGTATTTCAAAATTCCAATCCTTAAAAAAAAAAAAAAAAAAAAATCAGCAAAATGGAATAATTAGATCTACACAACATCATGGAAGTAGAGAATCTACTTTAGTAGATTGATGATACTGATGACTCCCTGTATTTAAACATATAAACTTGCCCTGCCCTTACTGAAAATATTTAAGTTATTTATACTTACCCTATCAAAGCCCATAGCACAAAGGTTTTCTATTTTTTTGGTGTATTCTGGACTAGAAACTGGTGCTCCAGCATACACATGTGCCCAAAGTCGAGCTGTCTGTTTAAACATTTCTGGATTTTGTTTGTACTACACAAAAAAAGAAGGGAGGGGGGAAAGCAGAAAGTTAAATCAACTCAGCAATCCAATCAAACAGCAAGACAATATGGCAGATTGCAACCCATCATTCTTCCTACTGTATCTTCCACAATATCTTTCATACTGATCATGCTGCTGTTCTTGAAGTAAATTTAGAGGTAAGGATTACACAAAGAGCAAACCTATGCAAGCATTTGATAAAATGAGTTTGCCTTCAGGTTAAATTATGCACTATCGGTATTTGATGTGTGCAACCAGGTACTGCTCTCAATTGCACAGATCAAAGTAAAGTAGTTATATTTAGCACAGCTGCTGAAAATTTATATTCAGTGTGACAGAGTACAAATTATCCCTATGTTAACATCTCCTGAACATGGTGTTATGTACTACTCTAATGCATTTCTCTAATCACTTAAAAATACATATGGTTTTACACAGGCAAGTAGGCTTGCAGTTTTTCAGTCCGGGCTAATATTCTACTACCAGGCTTCTTCCTGAGAATGAGGATCTCGATCACACAGGTGACAGAAGAAGGGCTGACAAATGGGTGAGCAAGTGCAAAAAGCTAAGGAGCTGCAACTCTTCATGCAAACTTATTTACCAGAAAAATAAATCATGCTAGTATGTAACTATATTATTTTTCACCAATCTTGTCGCTAACCAGTTTTCCAATAAACAACAGACTGGACCATATTGCAGAGAATTTTTAGCATGTGCCAAGAACTCAGTTTCCAAGGAAGTGGGTCATCTGTCATAAACTGTACTCAGAAAAGTTAAATTATTTTCCAATTTTAACAACTTTTGTATGTAATATCAAGGTTTTTGTCTTAAAAAAATCCCTCTTCCTTTAGATCATTGCTTTCATAAAACAAGATAGTAGGAAATACATTTTTCAAATATTTAGGTACATTTTAAGGACAGAAGCATGGCTGATCATTCTCAGACATTTCATTAATAAATTGAAATAATAATGAGATCTACAAATCTAATCTATATAGATCTACATAAATCTATAAATTAGATCTATAAATCCTACAATAAAATGCTATACATTTCATTTTGCTTCTCCTACAACAACCCACACCAACTATACTGGTTTATGTGTCTTGCCCACGTCCCTCTAATTCTAATCTATATGCCATAATTTGTATATTTACTAACTGGCTGCATTAATGGCATTAAAACAAACACAGGCGGCAATCTTTTGTTGGAAGTAAATCACTGTTACAAATACAGTGATCTGTAATAAATTTCTTTTGATGGAATGATTAAAAAAGAAGAAGGACTAAGTTAAACATCAGTAGCATCCTGAAGTACTATTGTCTTATGCTCTTAAGAGATCTTCCCCAATTAATTTTTTTAAAATATTTGTGAGAACACTGCCAAGCCTAGAAAGCAACTAGCTGAAGTGCAAAGGATTAGTCATAACTGCATTTTACTCAGAACTAGCTTTCAGTGTTCTATTGATAGAATTCCTTTACTTAGGTATCTGTAAATAATCCAGTTTCTCACTGAATTTAGAAAAGCCTAAAGGCAACTTTTGCTAATGTTTCAGTATCAGGAATCTGAGGCAGTTCATGTTGCTGTACCAAAAAAAACCCAGCAACCAGAGCAACTAATACACCAGACAGCTGGTGTCTGAAAATACTGCTCTTACTCAAAACAGGAATTCTCCCTGGGATTCTCTCAAGAGCTTGTAGGACGCTGCCATTTACCTGGATAACACACAGTTGAATAAAATAGCACAAGTGTGGAGAATAATTAATTCCTTGTGAAATTTTGTCAAGGAAAAAGCAATTAACCCCAAACAAAGTAAAAGAGACTCCAAGACCAAATAAACACATGAAGAAAGCAGGTGTTTACTGATATCTGTCTCAAAACCATTATAATCACTTTCTGCTTACAAACACATGCCTGTAACTCAAGGCCAAACCCCAGCATAGTTTTCATGCAGGCTTTGGCAGGAAACAGGATAAACTGAATCCTCCCCACATCAGCCATGCCAGTCCCACTGGACATACTCCCACAAGCACCTGAGGGGCAGCCTGGAAAATTGCTCTTTGGAATCTACAAAGTTTCGTGGAGTTTTTTGCCTGAGAAAAAACCCTTGCAAGCTCAAGTGCTTCATCAGAGCCAGAACACAAAACACTATATTTGTTCTTTGTAAAAAAGGATATAGTGTTTTCTCTTTTAAATGAAGGAGTGTGACAGCAAGTGCACACATCCAGAAAAAAATCCAGTCCAGGGACATGCCTGGTGGCCTTTCTGGCCTTTGCAACACTTCTCCCTGGGCAGAGCAATTCAGTCTGACAGACCTGTTCAGGGACATTTATTCAGAGCAGCTTTATTGCAGAATCCCACAAACAAGCCTTCTGTACTTACTGAGTACAGTGGTAGCAAACAGCTCTCACACACCAGGAGTGGAGTGGGCTACCTCTGTTCTCCATGTTTCCCCCTGAATCCTGACAGGTTTGAGAAAATGCTTACCTATCATTCTACACTGAGTTTAAAAGGGAAGAAGTGCACACCTTGTCACTCTATCCTGGAGGGTTCTGACTTACAGAAGATACAGGTAAGATAGAAGGTTCATCCAGCATCAACTTGCTTTGTTCTTCTGTTACTGAAATAGACTCTTACTGCCAGTGGCAAAGCCAGGCTGCCCTTCTCTCTCCCCAGAGTAAAAAGGAAAACACACACATACTTGTGGCTTTGTTGAAAATTGTCAGAGGAATGACTGTTTCTATCCTTCAGCAACACCTTAAACAGAATCATGCCAGTCCTGGTATGACCTAAGATCCAACTGACTTTTTTTGGTATTAAAAGTTATTACTAATGTCTGAAAGGTAACAAACTTTGTTGATTATAAATTTTTACTGATAACAATTCAATCAGTGATTAAAACAGTTACCCCCAAGTCATTATTCATATAATTTTGACATTGAAAAAATATAATGCTCAACAACATTCATATTAATCCCGACAAGAAGCTACATACTAAGCCAAATCCAATTAACACCACCAAGTTAAAACTCATTTAAAACCAATAGCATATTGCTTTTCTTATACTGGAAGCTTTAGATTTTAAAAGGCAAGTTACACTGGAATTCATTTAACTATGCTGTTACCTCCTGACATTTCTCACAAGGTGATATAAATAAAGGGCAAAACCTCCTGGCACTGCAGAATAACTAATACTTACTCTGGAATTCAAAGAGCACAAAACACTGTAGCAGCTCACATTTAGTAGATGCAATTTTACAATAAATGGTTTAAAATCTTTTATCTCCTGTAAGCCTTGCAACCTAACCTAAGTCAGCAAAGATTACAGAAGTGTTACAAAATTACAGTCAACTGAGTATTTTACCTGGTTTGCCACTACTGCATCTTGTGGATCATCTGGTTCCGCAGCTGCCAACAATGCTTGCAGGGATAACAACACTGTTCTTAGAGTCATTGCTGCTGCCCTGAAATTGAAAATTCAAAAAATCCTTTACCATATCCTGTGCCTGTATAGTTCACCTTTGTGGCTGTATTATCATAGAAGATGAGTTCATGTACAGATTTTAAGTCCAAAAAACATAATTTTAAACTACTGAAGCTTATAGTTATTAAAATACTATTCTATATATATCTTTAAATAAGGTTTTAAACGTGGACTTTCCTATTAACAATGCTTTCTGAAGTTTTTGGGAAGTACCTTGACCTACACATTTCACCACGCCCATTTAAAGCAATTCATTTTCATCTAGGGAAAAAAAGCCCATAAAAACCAACGTCAAAACAGGTTGTGCCATTCTCCCTAACTGCCGGTACCGGCACCATTCTCCCGGTGCGGGGCGGGGCCGGCAGTCCGGGGATGCTCCCTCTGCCGGCACTCTTCGTGCAGGAGCAGTGACCTACATTTTAAACATGCCTAACACGTAAGGAATTCTATACACTAGATCTCTTTGCACCAGTTTTAACATTACATTTTTCATTAAATTGAACCATTTACATAGTTAATTACTACTACAATAATAAAAAAGGCTAATTATGGAACGTCCCATCAAAATACTTCCTTGGCTTCCTCCCACTACAACCTGATACGACTGCTGGCAGCAGGAAAACATTCTGTAGTCACAATTGTTCTGTAAAGTCACTCTTTGCCACGTGAAAGCACACTGTTGAAGACAGCACAGTCCCAGAGTTGGAACTTCTAAGATTTTAGGTTCTTATAATTTATCTTGATCTCAAAATCTATTTAGAATAAGACACTTCAATAATTCAGTAAGAGAAAACCCAGTATACTCAGAGAAGTCAATAAACCCTCAGAAGTAATCACATGAAATTTTTACACGCTAGAAGTCTGGGAAATTTTAACATTTACACGGTTTCATTAGATTTTGATCATAAGTAACATCTCTAAGATACTATTTCTTTTGGCATACACTGGGAACCAAGTAAGAACCCCATAGACCCTCTGAAAGTTGAGTATTTCTGATTTGAACAGTTAACAAGATTCTTAAAGTCATTGTAGCAAAGGCAGAGACAGTTGTTCAAACCAATACACAAATATGTTTAAGAACTAGTAAGAAGGTGAGTGGGGAAAATGCGGTATTTTATATTTGAGCAAAGTGACTGACATGTGAATGCCAGAGGAAAATTGTGAAACACAGGCATCCAACTTCTTAAACAAACCAATTTCAATCAACAGAAAATAGTGTCTTATTTTCAGAAGATTGCAAATAAATGCAAAGAGTTTGTTAAAATAGGTGAGGAACAGCTTGATCTGATGGTCCAGCTACAAAGGAAACAGTGTGCAAGTGCATTTCCAGGCTTAGGTTTCAGAGATTTATGTATTTTTCCAGTACTGAGTCATTGTATTAAGGTACTCTAGCAGTGTATACCAACGAACAGAGAATAGATGCTGGTAAATGTCAGAGGCACATTTGTGGCATCCAAATATTATATTCCTAGATGCTTACATTCACAGCTTTCTTGCTATGTCACTAACCATTCAAACATGCCATTTTTTCCTAATTGTTTCTAATTCTAGAAGATTTTTCTCAGTAAGTTATTTTTTAGCTTGATAATTATTGCTGAGCTTTCGCAGTGCAGTGTTCTACATCAAAATGCAAGTGAGAAACATCCCAAATGACAGAGATTTTAATTAGCACAGTGTCTCATTCCAACTGCCACACCAGCTTGAAGCCCCTTCAGCTGAACGTAGTAGACTTATATCTTTAAAAAATCCTTATGCTTTTAAATCTGAATTCTGACAAATCACAAACCATCACAACATAAAATTCTTCTCTTTCAAACCTATTCCTGAGTAATTTTCTCTTCTTTACATGTACCTAATGCTATTTTGCTCTTATAATTTCCTTGGGCTTGTAATTCCTTGGGTTTACACTATCTTGAAATTGACCTATTTAATGTACACAGTCATGACATAATTCAGTCTCATCTGCTAGCATTACAGGAATGCAATGCAACATATTTATTATTCCAGCATTCAGGTATCATGGAATACTAAGTCTTTCAGGCCTTACTATGCTCAAATGGATGTAATAATTTTTGGGTTTATGCAGTCAATTTCAGGTATTATCATATCTACCACACCCACTATAAAACTTAAAGTCTTTTTCCCAGTTAAGTAATTTTATTTTGTTATTTACTCTATTTTTAAAGACAGACTTAACATGAAATATCTATCAACCCTAACTAAAGCTATAGTTACTTTCTCCAAATAAAAGCTGTTCTGTCCTTTCCTTTGTGGAAATCCTTCTACTTTAGAGACATCTGAAAATGGAGAGAAGATGACATAAAAAGGATCACAGCCTTTTGTGCCACTTTTATATGCAATTTACTTCCACTTACACTGTACCTACCAGGAGTGTAAAATATACTTTGGGGAGCAGGGGACATTGCTAGGAAACAAAGCTGCCATGGACACCAGCTGTGTCCAGCTGTCTCCAGCTTTCAGTACTGCCAGGTTCTTTCTATCCCTGTTCACCTGTTATATCTGTAGATTTTTATACAAAGCATACTGACACTTGAATATCTGACATTCAAATTTCAAAATAACAATTAAAAGCAACATCCATTTATATATACTGATGGCTATATGATCAGAGAATTTAAACTCTGAAATACTAAGTTTCAGACAAGATTGGTTTAATCACATTTATAAAAAGGTTTAAAAATGCAGCTTACAACTTATTTTCAAGTCTCATGTCTCCCATTTCTCATGTTCCCATTTCATGCATAGTATAAGACAGTCTTTATTGGACACAAACATTGAAAGAAACATCCTTAAATCATAAAAGAAAACCCATTACAGCTTCATTTGCTGTTTGCATTAAACAAAAGAAGAAAAGTTTGTGATTAATGGTTAAGAAAAACTGACATATTTTGGGTAACTATTATACAACTATCTAAAATTTTCTACCTTTAGAACACCAATTAGCTGTCCTGATCAAAGAAAGTAAAAATGGCTTATTTTCTACATAGCTTAGTCTTAATTTTTCAGATATATATTAAGATTCACAGAAGAAACTGAAAGAACATCTAAAAATAGATTCTGATTTCCCATGAACTTAAAAGCTCTTCTTTCTTCCCATTACCTTCTTTTGGGAGAATACAGTGAATGGAGATGACTGCCTAGAATTATACTTCCAAATCCCAGTAAGGCAGGACCTGTTCCTCATGAGCAAAAAGCAAAAGCAATTCCCATCAACAGTTCTGAAAGCAAATCTATACTGATAGTGGCACAAAGCTAAAAACACACACACACACACCCCCAACATCTTCACAAGCCAAAAAATAACGTCATGGGGAAGAAAAAAAAAAAAAAGCTGCATTTTCCTTAAAACAAATTTCCATTGCAAAGATAGAGGTCTTCTGAATATTCCAATGCACCTCAAAGGTTTATTGTCTAGAACAGAACCCTGAAAAAATTAGGTATTTCCAACTCTTCTGCAATTTGAAGTTTACTTCCAGGTATGGATTTATGTGCAACAGATTATGGAGTTCAAGCAATTCTCTGGTAACTCAAGCCAGCTGCATGGTTCTGTTCTAGGTTTGTTCTCTGCCCCCTGCCAAATGCAAGGTTTTGTATTGCTCCTGACAGTTCTTAACTCAAGCTCAGAAGGCTCTTGGAATATTGACTTCAATTCTTCACCATGATTGATATTCTGCACACTGAGATGGCTTTCCAGTCTTTCACTGTACAGTGAAAGTTTTTGCTTAAACCATCATTCTTGTTACTTTGGATTTTTCCTATGGTTCCCATCTCTCTTGTACAACAGCTCTCTTGGCAGGTACACTACTTCAATGGAAACCTGACTGAACACCAGCAACAAGCAGCCAGCTTGTATAATGAGCTTTACAGGTAAAATTTCCTATTTGCCTTGCTCATGACCTTACATTGCCTTTGTCCCATGACATTACTGATTCCTGTTTGCTCCTAAAACTTACAATAACCCTTGACTTCCACTCCCATCCCAAAACGTTGCTTAGCTATCATGCAGGTTTTCCATCTGCAAAATGGAAGAAGGCCACTATCATGCACCAGTGAGCTGCAGAGAGCTCCCTACAGGGATGCACTGTCCCTCAGAGAACTTGAAACTAAAAGCCTCCACTCTGGACATCCAAACCAAAAGCTCAGTTTTCTATTGGCATTGCATGTGCTAAACCACAAGGAAAATCTGGATTGAATCAGAACAAAGAGAGCTGATACACATTTTGTTCACTTACACTTTTTTCCTCTTTTTTTTTTTTAAAGATAATATCTTAGGGCATTTCCATTAAAAAAGAGCACCCCTAGTTTGGGTGACTATAGTGTTAACATTAGAAGGCACAGCAAGGCAGCTGTGCCCAGCATGCCTGAGGAAAGAAATCTCTTTTACCTTTTGATGAGCAGAGAGAGTCCTAAGAGGATTACAAAACACTGCCAGGTTTTCTTTTTCTGTTTCATTTTTAAAGGCTAAGTAATTCTCCATTTAGGAAGTTTTTGCTTATGTTCTTTACATTCCTCTCTAGCAAACAATCTCTCTCATTATTCCAAGAGGGTAACCCAGCAGAATGCCTGGAACAGCTGCAGCCAGCAGATTGCTACTCCACTCTGTCAACCAAACATGGCTACAGGAACATTTTTTTCTAAATAATCTGCAATATTTGTTCCATTTGGGAAATAAATAAGCTTGTTAATGCAAGAGAAAATCTCTGGGATCTTGTACCAACATCTTATGGAATCTAGAAGGAAATGAATAAGGCCTTTGAGTAGAAGCCTGTTACATAGTCACTATTTACAGGACAACTACAAGACCAGGCACCCACCAGAGAAAACTTTAAAAAACAGTAATAGGATAGCTTTGACATAGAGGGGGAAGACAGCCTGCTTGCTGAAGGGCTCCCTAAAATCATGTTAATATTCTCTGCATTTTTCTCAAAGTTTTAAGAAGCTTCAGTACTCCTCAAACACCCTGAACAGAACCCAGCAGTACTGGGCACCCAGGAAGATTACAAGCTAGCTACTGCTTATTTATCTATTAAAATTGTATTATCTCTTATAATGAATTCTGCATCTCAACTAAAACTGAAGCACGAATCCTCCAGTAGAGTCACTATGACAAAAATATTCATTATTGACTGTCAAACCCACAAAAGCCAAGAGTTTTTGTAGCCATATATGCAGCCATGACACATTCACTTAATAATCTCTGCTCTAGGGATTTATGCAGAACAGCTTTCAAGTAATTTAGTTCTCAGGTTTCAATGAACTGCATTAGATACGTTGTATATTTAAGATTAAAGCTTTGAGACAGAGTACTAGCCCAGAAGATAAATATAGGTCATAGTAAGTGAAACCACATAATGAAAATTATGTCAGATAAGCATAAACAGTATTCCTTTTACAAAATCATATCCCTATTTTAATTCTAGCAGTAAACAGTAGCTGCTTTGCAACCAAACTGGTGTAACAGGTACTTAATCTAAACATGAAAATCCACAGCTGCAAAGAATTTCAGTAGCAAGCATGCAATGTGGAAAAATAATTTCATTAAACTCATTAAAAATAATTTAAAGACATTACCTTGCAAACTGATAAAACCTCCTGCCAATATGCAGAATATAATCTCAACTATGCTCATTAAAACAGAAAATCATTACCACAGGATGGGAGAGTGGGGAAGAGACTTTTTTAAACAATACAACCATATTAAAATCTTTGTATTCACCACCTACAAATGAGTATTTTATCAGCTTATTAACTCTTCCAGAAATCCTGCTAAGGCCCATAGGCCAAACTTCTCCAGTCCTTTAACTCTCACACCTCACTGAAAAACAGACAGGCAGTGAAATTTGAGACTTCTATATAAACACAGCAATAAGAGGAGCATTATTGAAAATCAAGACTGTGGAACTAAATATATTTTCTAGAATACTTCCACAGGAATATTTCAGAATTGCATTTATCCAATTTACTTTTGAATGCCTGATGAAATAACTTAAATATTAAATTATTAATCTTGGGGGGGATTGGGATTGCTTATTTTTTACTTGTTTTTTTCTTGTTTGCTTTTTTCTAATGAAGCCATTTTATTCAAACCACTTTTTAACCTAGACATGCAGAAAACTTATTTTTGGTGGTGTGTGGTGGTACATCCTCCCCCTGGCTCCCTCCTTAGATCAGCTGTCTCAAGAATGCTTGTTAGATCTCAGCCTGTATTAATGACACCTGGACAGTTAGGTTCCCTTGAGCTTATCAAAACCACTTTCTGCTCCCAGAACTTCTGCTGTCTAGCAAGCCCCTGTTTTCCAACAAATAGCCTTGAGTCTATATGAACAAGAGAGCAGTGGAATAGTATTTTTGTTATTGGACTTTTCAAGGAATAGTCCAGTAAATACCAACTCATCCTTGTGACCAGGATGGAAATTTACTGATAATTTAATTCAATCATCTTGTGACCCTATGAACAATGGTACTGAGACCCTTTGAGCTGTCCTGGACCACAGCAGGCTGTGATCAGCATTTCCCAAAGTGGGATGACTCTCAGAACCAGCAAACTCTCAGGTTTGTGAGACTCTGAGGATTGCCATGGAAAGCCACACCCTCACCATTCCTCAAGGCTTAATCCTTTCCCCACTGAGAAGATCCAAAGGCATCTGCAAGTATTTCACTGAACTCAAGGGTAGTTTTTCTTAAGTATACCTTTGTATATAATTATTTTGGTCTGTGTGCATGTGTATCATGAATGTTGCCACATCAGATTTAACCTGGTCTAGTGGAAGTTGTTCCTCTCCATGGCAGGGAGGTTGGAACTAGATGATCTTTAAGGTCTCTTCCAACCCAAACCATTCTATGATTCTATGCTGTAGGCATTTCTTAATTAACTAAAGCTGAATATATTGAAGAACAATAAACAACTTATTTAAACAATATTAACCATTCATATTGCTTAGTTAGTTTTAGGAAGCTACTCAGGAAAGAAGCAGTCTTATCTATCACAATACAGAAATGTTTCAAACAGTAAACAATGGAGGCAGCTATAAGTTTGTTCTTATCAAAGGATTAGAGGCTTTGACAAGCACTTCAACAAAGTTCAAGTGATTTTCATATACCATTCTATGATTTGAAAATAAACAAAACTTACAAATAGCACCACTAGAAAATGAAGGGATCACACTACATTAAGAATCATTTGAAGAGGGGATTGATATTATACAGGAAATCTCCCTCTGTCACCACTAGATTCTGTGCAATCCTCTCCTCAGCGCTTCCAAATGAAGACACTGTTTCAAAGGAAGAGTTTAAAACTATGTAACTGGCATAATACTGGTGCTTCTTGAATCAGCTGGTTTAAATATACAGAAGTCAAATTCTTGTTCCAATACTCCTATTTCATATACATCTTGAAGAAGGAAGATATTAATGTTTGGGTGTTTTTCATCAAGTAGAAATAACAGAAATATGACACTGATCAAATTATCTGTGCTAGACATAACTCAAAGATTACAAGAAAACAGTTCAACTCTTCTCTCCTGTTTGTCCTTCTGAAGTATCAAAGGTTTTGACTAATAATCCCAAAAGTACATAAATTAAGTTGAAGCTCATGGGTTTTTTAGGTCTTTGTTGCCTTTTGATACTTATAGACAACCTCATGCCCATTCATTAATCTGCTTCAGAGTTCGATCTCTCAGGAGACTGTACTTGAACAGTTAAAGAATCATTAATCTCCAGTAAAACTGTAGGGCGGTATGATCAGTTAGATGAAGGTACAAAAGTGCACGGGCGTTACTGATAAGAAAAGTTATATCAGGTACCATGGCATGTATATTGAAGATTCTATTGCCTGAATGAACACCAAGTGCTCTGAGATGGTAAGAAAATATATGTCATTCCAGTAGTCAGAAAGACAAGAGTTTATGACCATTACAATTTAATTGCAGCAATTTACACTATACTGTGCCAGATGATTTCTACAATCTCCTATATCTGTAAAAGATAAATACCCTAGATGTGTCACCTGCAACACCTCAAGACTTCAGCATTCTCCTCTAAAGCTTCTGTTTCAAACCCAACTGATGTCTGTTTCGCCAAGAGGACTCTTGACAAACTTGTTGACTTTACAAGCATCTGAAGTTTGTATGGATTAGATACTGGTATGATCTGCTGGGGAATTACAGTCCTATTCTTTTGGGGCAGACATGGAGAAAAATAAGCATCTGTATTAGGTATCATGTCTATCATACCACTCTGGTACACAATCTTCAAACCACATGAAATCAATTACTTTGTAAAAAAATTAACAATGAGCACAGCTGTTAGTTTGCACACAAGTCTATTCCACAGATTTTGGCTATTAAAACTTCTGCAGTAACATTAACTAACCAAAGAAGGCAATAGGTAGTACTTGTTAACAGAAAAGAACTAAAATAAAAAATTATATAAAACCACCCAAAATGTCAACAATGAAATGTTCATTCTAGTGCAAAAATTTTTGGAAGAACTCTCTGTATATATAATAGTTACTTAGTGCTTTCCAAAATTATCACCCAATCTTTTCATTTGCATACTTGCACCTCAGAATACAACACCAAAATGTGTGCTTTAAGGACATCTCAAATTATAAGCACAAGGTGAAAAGCAAGGTGAGCTGATGCTTCCTATCCAGAACACCAGTATACTTGATTTTGCACATTTAAACCCCCATGGAATCTTACCATTGATCTTTCAGAATATCCAAACAAATGGCCCCAGTGACTGAGCTAATATTAGGATGCCATATTTTGGTGATAAACCGCACCTAAAAATAAAAGACGATTTTTAAAACCAAAACCAGTAATTAAAGGCAGTATATGAAATAAACATTTTAAATCCACAATTTTAAATAATATTATGAAGAAATACTAATTTTGAAAATGTAGTACTACAAATGGAACTAAGACAGATACTGCTTGTTTCAGGAGGCTTCAAGTTTGTAAGGTTGTTTGTTACTACGCCTTACTCATAACAGACTGCTGCCCATTCCAGTCCCCCAAACTCATCCCTAACTGCTTTCTCACATGTCATGTGTTCACATCCCTGCATCACACAAAGTTAATTAGAAATATCCTCCAGCATACAAGTTTTGACAAGCAGATGATCAAATACAGACTTAAAACTTCTAACGTTATTAAAAGCGGGTTTTCTAGATTTCACAAAATCCTGAACTCTTAACATAGGAACTGGGTATCACTCACTGCTGAGCTAAATTGTTGCCTACAGAAGTATTAGGAAAATTTATTTGGTGGACGCTACATCTGCAACCATCCTGTCTCATTACCTCATATGCAGAAAGCTGTTAACCAATCCAAAACTTATCTAGATTACTCTTATTTTTCTTTGCTATTGAAAACATCTAGTCCCAGTATTCATTCATTAATCATGTTCATATTTTTACACTAAAGTGTATTCATGTTCACGATGCAATACTAAAATCAGGTTTTGGTGGTTTGGGTTTTCTGGGTATTTTTACGACACTGAGCAAGGTAAAAGCAGCACTTTCTCCTAAAGGTCTTGAAGACCGAAGCTGCCATCAGAAAGGACATACATGCCTTTGGAAATTCCCCCTTCATTTTCTTCAGGTTGCACTTTAACTGCCTTCTAGTGATTTTGACCCATCTGTTTCTTATCTCCTCCTCACCCCAAACTCCTGAAAAGCTTTTTATGTGTAGCACAGATCTCTCAACTTTTGCCCCTGACCTGTAAGCATATCAGTGAACAGAACATCTGTCAGGCACTACAGCAAAAGACCATACATACAGGGCTATAATCAAATCAGTGCAATCCTGGTGCCTAAATAGGCAACACCAGAACAGTTCTGCTTTCCAGGACAAAAATAACCCATCATGTCAGCTGAGGCACTTATTAACTACCACAACTCTATAAATCACTTGGAAAATGTAAAAAGAGATGTAAATACTGGGTAATTTCTCACAGTGAATGACTGCTAACAATGGCTGTCAAAGCACATACTGAACAAGCTAAAGAAATCTTTCAGATCAAAGGCAGGGCCAGACACAAGCAAAACCACTTCCAATTCAAGATTCCAGAATAAGCAGTACTATGCTACAATGCACTGAGTTTCTAACAGCTGCCTATGAACTCTGGAAATGGAGACCACCAAGCCCTAAAGCAGCAACTAAATCATGGTATACAGACTTATCTTTCAGCATCCACAACCTGTTTCAGCACTCCTTATTTTAGCTCCCACCAGAACATGTGCAGATTAAAGAACTGAGACCAACAGATATTTCTTTAAGATTTTCTGTGTCTTTTGCTCCAGCCTCAAGGAAGTAATTCAAAGAGCCTATGAGCTACTGGCACCTCTCTCTTCCTCCTCTTCCCCAGTTCCTTCCCAGTGTTACGTATCGGGGTGAAAATAAGAATCTAGGACATGTTCTTGGTTCAAAGACATCTTTCAGACAAACAGAAAACCAATCAAGAAGCTGAGTCAGACAACTGAGGCATCTACTGATTCAAGCCACAGAGGAGAAGACTACATCAGGGAACAGGAAAGTATAGCTGCAGCTGCACATGGCTGGGGAGAACATTATTCACAGTGAAATCACAAAACTGAAATTCTAGAAAGTTGCAGTAAAGTTAAAAGGCCAGTAAGTTGTGAAAATATGAGTGACTTTACCACAGCCATTTCTCATTTCTTATCCATGTGCATGTTATCTATTCCTTCAACAGAGAAGCAGCAAGACTATCACATTTCTCTGTTGGTTCTTCAAGACACACAGCTGTACGTGTCACTAATTATTACTAGAAACTTGGTATGTTAGATTCAAGGACCTCTTAAGTAATGGAGACCAAGAAATGAGAAGAACCAGTAACTCCCTATTACATTTCTTCAACAATGCTGAGGGGGAGGGAAGACACTGTACTCTCTACATCATTTCAAACTACTTGAAAACTGTATTTATCTTGTCAGAAAAATATTACATTAGGGTCAATAATAAGGCCCAAACTCCTCCCCAGAATTTCCCAATTTGTACTTTTAGGAACTATCAGAGTGTACTTCTGATTGGATACAGTTTTGCATTCTGCTTTATTTCTACCTAAATACAACAGTTCCAATCCTTGTCTAGAAGTGAATTTTTAAAAACAAACCAAAAAAACCCCAAAATAAAACTCCAACAAACAAACAAGAAAACACGTAAATAAGAATACTCAAACCAAACTTGTTAGCCAAATTGTATTATCCAAAAATGTGTGTTTGCATTACCTTAGGAGGATTAAATGGATATGTCTCTGGGATTTTTATCTCTAGCTGATACCTTCCACCTGCAAAAGACAAGAACAAGTTGGAAATTATACCAAAAGAACATTTTGGTATAATTATATACCAAAATGTATACGTTATGTAATACATATACTCAAGTCTTTCAGGACACTAAACTTATACTTCTAAATGAGCAGATTTTCAAGTAATTCAAATTTACCCAGCAGTATTAGTTAGGAGATATATTTACATTTCATCTATTTCATAAATAAATGCATATAAAGTCAGTTAGAAAAGCTGTGTTTGTTTATGCAAATCAGTACCTATAGTTCTTATTCAATGTACATTCTCATTCCCAATCTTATCATTTCCATGCTTTATTTTAATAAAATATATCAAAATATGAATCAAACAGCTCCTAAACAGATGAAAAAAGAGGTCACAGGAATATTCAGGCTGAACATGGGATATTACATTATTTTGATATTTTTTCTGATATTTCATGACAAATTTTCTTCAGCTTACACAATTGAAATTACCTGTATTTCATTTTAAACTTTTTGGAATTCAAATACATTCAAATAACTTTCAGAAAAGCTCCCACACTTTGGGAAAAATAATAATGGAAGTACCAGTGTTTAACTTTTATTATGTTCTACATTACCACCTGAAGTAGTTACTTTTGTTTCAATTCTGCAAACACTTTAACACACCAGTACCATTAATACAATATGAAGGGCCAGAGCATACAATAAAGGGTAATAGGAGCTTGGAAGACAGAACCCTCTCCTACTGCCCAGTTTTAAGTATTTCTCAATTTTATCTCTTTTTCACAGTATCATTCCCTATTTTATTTCCATTATAGTTCTGTTAACATTCAAGTTCACTACCAATACTTATGTCTTCTGGAGCAACCTCAAACTATCTCTGCCTGCCCAGTGAAGGCCCTTTGCCAGGCAGCAATTCAATGACAAAAGAACAGAGTATAAAAAAAAAAACATACACACCAAGTTAGACGTTTAGTTTTTATAAAAACTGAAAGCATTTATTCTCACTTGCAATTTTTTTCTTCAACCTGCTGCTCTTCTTTCAGAAACCTCTTCCCTCTATCAGTACAATGTGTTATAATTTATACTGTTTCTTGAATTACAGCTGAAGTATTTGCAATCTATTTTCCTTGAGATTTCCAGAATGATTTACTCTGCAAATCAAGCTATACAAAACCACCTCTCAAGTAATTATAATACTGGCAGCAAGATACACAGGGAAAAAAAAGCCTCAAAGTACTCTTCTCAGCAGTTACAGTATATGGCATCTTCCTATCAGTGCCAAAAAACACATCAGTAGCTCCTAGCAGCTCTCACTTTTAAAATGCATTTCAGTCTAATACACTCCACCTGAAACTAGTTAGCATCAGTTTGGTATTTTACTATTGTCTACAGCTGTTCTTTTTCTCACTTAACATTAAAGTAACTTGAGAAGTTTTAACAGAAAATACTATATAAGAAAGATCAATAAATCCAAAATTATAATACTAATGTCTAAACTGATTGCTGGTCTGCTTACAAGACAGCACAGGAGAAACAGTTTTGAAGACACATACATCAATAAGAAACCTTAATGAAGTTTGGTCTTCCTTTTTTTCAAACTGAAGCATAATTCAGCAGTAACTGTTCCTAAGAAGAAAAAGCAGCTACACTCTGCCTGGATTACAAAAATTTATCAGTCCTTCTACAGTTTTGCTGCCACATCATTTTGTAAGGTAATATGAAATCCATTCTATAGGTATTACCATTTCTTCTGCTTACCACAAACTGTTACAGTCTTCTGCCTAACAGGGTATTCAGCCAGCAATATTTTTTACCAGAGATTGATGAGGTGCTAGTATTATTTATATACTATTGTTTTGCACTAAACTTTGTGGTTAAAAATACAGGCTTAAAGACATAACCTAAACACATCTGTGATTTCTTTTTTAATACTAAATTTAAAATACAAATGACTAATATATTAACATCTGCATGGCAATATTTCTGCTTTTTTTCTTTTTTAAGAGTATACATATGCATGGCTTTTTTTGTGGCTATTTAATGCTTGAAATTGAATTAAGCAGTAATGGCATAATATTCCTTCTGTAGTCCTACTGGAACAGGTCTCACAAGAGTTTGAGCAATTTTTAGCTATTTCCCTTGAAGAAATACCCTATTATAAATTTTGCAGTTGCTGTGGCTCACATGCAAGCTTGGCTTGAAATTAATACTAACATTACACAGGCTTTAAAAAAAACCACAACCCCCAAAAAATCCAAACCCACAAAACCCCAACCTATCTACTGAAAAGCTCTTGAATCAAGTAAAACCCAGCAGCCATTAATCAAGTCTCTCAAAGGTCCTCTCTCCAAACATGTTTTAATATGACATGCAAACGTGTTTTAATTAAAGTTGTCTTGCAATATTCTGATAATTGATCAATAAGAGTTGACACTACTAACAGAAAAATAAAAGGTGTAAATTTTGTCAATAGATGGCATTCTTCCTCTCATTCTTAACTGATGTTCCAACATTACCTATAAAAAACTTTGCAGCAGCAGTCTAGTTTCAGATACCTCACCAACTGTTCTTTCACTTCACAATGGTTCTAGAATTCTCTCCTGTATCACAGGGACTGTCTGACCAGAACTACTGCATAAAACTTCTTCATAAAGCACTTCTTGCTGTGTCACTGTTCAGACTATAGATGACAAAACATCATTCAGTAATTATGCAGTATGCATTACTGCTATAGTCATAAAATGAAGATGACACACACTGGCACGCCCTTCATAATTATCTAAGGGAATGAAAGCATATAACTATATTACACAAATATTAGCATTCCACAGCAAATTATTCTACTGTCAGGAAACACCAGAAATTGGGCTGGCAGTAACTCTCATTTTGTTCCTTGAAGCATATGACTTCTAGATTAAAGTAAGCATACAATCACATTACTCTTCCATGAGATCTCTGCCATAATCAGAATATAAAGGGGTATTTACTATATCCTCATAATTAAATGTACTCAAAGGTATGCGAGTATGCATGCATGTCACACCAACAAATTCTGCACTAAACATATTGCTGTTTTTCACTAACAGGATATGCTGAATATGTGAGCAGATAGTACCCAGCTTTTGAAATTCTTGTCTACCTGAATCTTCAGCATCAACAGAACCCAGTTCTGCAGACAGACATTTCAATCTTTTTTTACCCTCTTCAGGACCTGCTATACAGTTTTTAACTTTTGTGACACATGAATACGTCTTTAATTTCAAGTAACTCTAAATACATTCCCAAAAAAAGGCCCATTTTATAAGCCAAGGTAATAGTGACCTGGGTGGGGGGAAATGGCTGTCTCTGAAAACCAACTCACTCAAGGAGGTTTAATTCGCTCTGGATGGAAAACAAATACCAAAACCAATACCCTTCTACCACCATTCAGATGCCTCCTAGCATTCAATTGCTTATATACAGATATTACAATACTAAGTCTTAGATTTACAAGATGAACTATGTTATTGCAAAACAACAATAGTACTAAATTCTTAATAGAATGATTCACTTCCAAATAGATCACTGGCACAAGTGTGTATTTTAGGTGAACAGTACTCCTTTTAAATTGAAGGCACATATTATAATCAGATTAAATTGTTTCCAGACATTATCATCTGTCAACTACACACGAGCAGCTGATGAGATGAAGACACATGGGAGAAGGGAGGGAGAGGGGAAAACCACCATTATTTACTAGACTGTTGAAGAACTCTGAAAATAAAGTTCTGTAGGGCACCCCTACCATTACAGCTGCTTCCACTTTTCTACTTTCTTTCTTCCAGACTAATTTCCCTTCTTGTCAGCTTCTGACATCTACCCCTGCTGAATATTCTTCCATGTCAACCACTGTTAGGCTATTTCCTCATTCTTGTCTCGTCCTGGGTCCCAACGGTAGAGGAGGGGAGACTCTCCCTGCTCTCAAGTCCAATGCTACTGCACCAGCTTCTAGTCCAGAAAAGCAAATCACAAGGGATGTCCTCCATTAGAGATGTGACAAACAGATTTTCATTAGCAGTCACTAATGTATTTGAGTGTATCTACTTCTATAGCTACAAAACAATTTCCAGGTATTTTCCCTGCCTGATGAGAATTTATTTTTTCAAAATAATGACAATAGCATGTGTCCAGTATCAAGGGAATACTGAAGTCCCAGTCTTAGCTTAAAGCAACTAGAGCAACTGAGGAACTTGCAAAATTGTTTAATATTCTACCAAAACAATTTGCCTGAAGCACTCCTTGAAACTTTTTTATTGAAAGTACAGATTCATATCAAAGTAGATATCTGGCACAGGAAAGTCAAGTAAAACAATGTTTTAAAGCTATCCAAAAATTTTAAAATTAATTAAAAATCATTCCTTATCATGAAAGAACTTGAAATAGAAGGTATGTCTGCCAATTCCATATACATTATACAGAAAGTTTAAAGTACCAGCACTATTGAGTAATTTTGTATCTCTGAAGAAGCATATTATATTAGCCTCTGTTAAAGCTTCTTTAAGGAAATTACTTTGCTTTTACCAGACTGTAAGAGATGAGTAATTACTGATATCAGCTTTAGTAAACTAGAAAGTCAGTAAGGTATAATTTTTAAAGACAGCTAAAGATACAAAGTTCTATTACTGAGTTCCCCACATCAGTATAAATTAAGTACTGGGACACACCGACGCCCAAAATTAATCCAAATTTTAACTTATAACAGCATCTCTGCTTGAGAGAGGAGAAATTCACCATTTATGAATGATCACCACTCTAGATCACAGAAATACATGCACAGTCTGAGACTCAGTTTCTTAATGCTTCATGGTTAAGGAGCTCAAACTGTCGAGATAGTAAACAAACTAAAAGTCAGAATTATACCAATTAAACCACAGAATTTATATTTGTAATTTGATATGGAATAGTTTATCCTACTGGAGAACAGATCCCTCTTTAGGCAATACAGAAGTTGAACTGAAATAGTTTTCTAAGCTTAAAATCTGTATTAAAAAAAAAATCAGACTATTTTAAAACATGTAACTCTACATTTTATGTTGTAATTATTTTTACAAACAAAGCATCTCAAGACACATGACTTGAAATGTACAATGATTGCATACACAAAAACTTTACTTGCCTTCATATGGTGTGTCCGGAGGTCCTGCTATTTCTCCTCTTAATTCTGTAAAATTCTCATCTACAAGATCTACTTTAATTTGATTTTTGCTCGTCTTAAAAATAAACAGAGAAACAAAGAATCATAAGTAAGCATTTGACATACAAATTTCCCCAAAAATATGCTGTTTTAAATTTTTAGAACAGTACTTTAAAGTAAATAAACATTTAAAAATATAGTAACCTAAAATTAATAGCTATCTTCCAGTTGAAATTTTACTTCATTAAAAATAGATGACTTGTGAAGCATTAGAAACGTCAATACTATTTATACTATTATTAAAATATGCAAAGCAATCCAGCAATATATCTAAAATTGTATTGCTAAGTTGACTATGTTTTGAACTGACCATGATCTTTCAAATCAGCTATTAATTCTACATATCTAAACTATAAAATTAAATTGACCAAATTACACATCAGTTCTTTTCATATTTAGACCAATTTATTTTAAAACAGGCATGTACGTCACTTGCAATGGAACAAAGAAAGACTTCCCCAAATGGAATAGTATTTTTAACATTACAATGATCTAAACAGAATATTGTAGTCTTAAGATCATGTATACCTTTAATATTTAGGCATAAAATACAATTTACTTTATGCACTTGAATTTCATTGTCACCTCCTCAACATTTTCACACCCCGTATCAACTTCCCTACAAAATAAAAACACTGTATTTTGATACTGGAGAGAACATATGTTTTCCACAAACAGATTCTCGGAAGTGTTCAGCCAGAGCTACTCATTCCAATGAATTTGCTTTCCAGCTCCAGAGAGCAGTATTAGTGAAAGTCATATACATCTCCCAGCCAGTAACTTTTATTGGGGGTTTGCAAAGCAAAATCTCCTTTTAGAAAAATGTACCATCAAGTTTTTAGAGGTAAGTAATTACAGGTTTTTCCATTCTGCTACTTCTGTATATTGTGCTCACTGACTGCAACACAGATTTCTTGATTCCTGCATTATTTTTTGCAAGATCTCTTAGCATCTTCTCAGCTCTTTTAAAATTGTTCCAACTAGATCTATACAGCTGTGCCTCTTTTCACCCTCAGAGTAACCCTGGTTACTGACAGCTACTAGAGAAGGGTTAAGTCATATAAAGTTGATAGGTGCCTTCAGCTGGTTCTTGACTCTATCAGTGATATGAACAATTAGCACACAGAATTCACTGGACAACAGTTGGGAAATTACTTCCGTTTCTTTCCTGCAAGTGTTCTATCGAATCAGTCCCATCAAAACAAAGAGTGCTCTTCTGACCAGAGATGTTCACAGATATAAAGAAAAATCAAAGATTAGGTAAAAGTTTCACCATGTAAAAAATCCTAATTCACTAAATTAATCCAATAGTGTACTGGGAGCTTTTAACATCTGTAGTTACATACATTTGTCTTTAGAACTTGAAATCCCTTCAACTCACACAAATGAAGCAGCACCTGCAGCTCTCCACAACAGCCAGGCACTGTAAAAAATTCCCTCTCTGAATTCAAATTTGATCTTACATGACATATCTTCTTGCAAGCTTTCCAACATCCCTTTTAATGTTTTTGCTCTCATGCTTCCAACTGGCAGCTTATTCCAACACCTCACAATTTTTAAAAGCTTTCTGAAGTACAATTAGAAATTACAATCTATTTATGCCCACTTGTGACAGCACTGTTTCCCATATCCAACAAGTTTTTTATATATCTAGTATTTATTCCCCTTGCAATATGTACGGCATTTACACTGATTTTCCAGCCTTAATTTTGCTTTAAAACAAGCTGAAATTCTAATCTCATCATACTGGTTTTTTTTAAAAAAGGCTCTCTACATGATCACCTAACCAGACCTAGATAAACAAATTTGGATGTCTCAGAATCCGTGCCACGAGCGCTCTGTTGCATTCACTAAAGATCATCATAACCAGCATAACCTAAGAAAGATGAAATCTGTCTTTTTCATGGCAGCATGACACAAGTCTCTGATCAAGTAACAAGATCAAGAACAATCCCAGCAAGGATTCCTGCAGAAGTTTTTGTTCTCTCCAGTGACTGCACAATGCTTTGTCAGAGGTACTGCTCCTGTGCATGGACTCCTCATGCCCACAGCAGCACACTGGTATAAATAACCAATACAGGTGAGTCACTAACTATCTGTGCAGGTACTGCAGTCACTCAAACCTCAGCTGAGCTTCCCCCGCTCTCCCTTTGCCAACATTACCTGGCAAGCTCCACCTTGATGGCAGGAGTTTTTGTTCTTTGCAAATAACTTTACATTTAGAGGACTGTACCAATAGCAAACAGGATTAATTTCAATGATTAAGCTATGCTCCAGCTTGCTTCATTTTCTACCTAGCATTCTGCTTTTCTTCCATGACCCGCTCACTCTTGTGTGCAGCCTGCATGTTCTCCTTCATATTCCGTTTCAATTAGTAGCACTAGCTGGTTTTCACAACAAATCCTTCCCAACTCCATAATTTGTTTAAAAGCAACCAAACACAGTCTGTCACTAAGATCAATTTCTTTCAAGAGCCAGTGATCCTGGTTCCCCACTTTGAGGTGACTACTTGTATTTCTGTAGCTGTCTCCACGCCCTTATTTGCCTTGCACAGCACCTTAAGGAAAAACAGCAGGCAATATTGCACTGTTTTATTGCAGGGATTAATTTAATTTTGTATTTATGCTTAAATTCTACCATGTACTCCAATATACCAAATTAGGTTTTTCTTTATATAGCTGAAGATCCTTTTTTTCATGTTATTCTGACACTTTTCAAAGTTCAGCTCAGCTTCACCTTGACAAGTATTGCTTTATCCTTCGTCCCTGGAGAAACAACACCAAAGTGACTACTAATCAAATTAAATCTGGAGTGTTTTCCTACAATATTTCTTTTTAATGGGGATCACATAGGAAAAAACTACTTTATTTTAGCAGTTCTAACAGAATAAATCCTTGACTTCTACCTCTACCAAAAACAGTGGTCTTCAAAAATTCTCTAACCCAAATAACCTTAGTGCAGTGTTTAAGAATCAACTTGTGATGTCACGCCCCAAGTTGATTTTCCAGAAGCAGTTCTACAAAGACCTCAATACACTTCCACAGCAAGTCTAAAACAGCATCACCTGTTGATCCAGTAACAATTTAGTGACTAAATCACTGGACTAGCAATTCCTGAAATATGAGCCATGCCATTAGACACAGCATTCATTTCCATAATTTCAGAGCCAAATTCTGTAACAATGCAATGCCCAAAAATCCATCAGCAAAATCCTTTTCTAGAAATCTACAAGTCCAACACTAACAGAATTTTCCGTTATCAAACCTGAAAACCATTTTGATCAAGACTGATCAAAAAAACCCAAACAACAAACAGAACACAAAACTGAGAGAAAGGAAAATTGATGCAACATACTACACAATGCACATTGCAATTCCCTCTTTTTTCTTGATAGTCTAGATGGATTATGCATAGCCATTTTTTCTTTTTACATGCATCCTTTAATTCACACTAGGGTGTAGTCAAAAGATTTGTTCTTTTAGACCAACTCAACTACTAAGATTCTTTCTGCACTGCTATAGTCATGCTTAAGCAATTTTATTTTGCCTTGTGGAAACTAAACCCAAGCATAAGAGATTAAACTAAAAGTATGATGCAGACAAGTTGGGGAAGAGCCATATTATGCTCTTTAATTTACTACAAAAAGCTTTATCTCTAAAAAGAAACCCAAACGAATCAATCCTTCATGAAGTGTCACTCTGTGAGCATCTTCCAAAGATAAGACACTCAATCACATTTATCACAGCAACCACTGATTGATAATATTTTGATTTGTCTTTACCTGCTTCCTCTTCAAAAAAAATCCAGAAGTATACTGTCTATGGTATATCTGAGTAACTTCTTTGCAAAGAACACACAATCCACTCCAGCAGAAAATTTGAAGAGTAAGAAGACTTAAACACACATCTTCACTTCTACTAAAATCATTTTAGAGAGCAGCTCTGGACTCTATAATATTACTCTCAGCATATAACAAGCTCTTCTGTTCTTCTTACTCACCATAGTCTACAGGCCTTAGTAATGAGGGCCTGCCCAATCTGAGGGCCTGTCTGCTTTCTGCAGTAAATGCAACCTTTTTCCTGAGCCTTCAATATCATTTCCTTCTCTCTTCTTCAACCTGCCTTTAAAAACATCTTTCATTTTTTCATGGCCTATCATCCTCTTCACTAGTCCAGTACCTCTATTCTTAAAAATCCAAAGTTTTCCCTGACATAAAATAAACAGATAAAACCATTACATATCAACACAAAAGAGCATACTACAACAAGCTATTAAAAACTGTATTTTTCTTCTAAATTTTATTTATCACAAACAAAATACTATAGTTATTAAAAGCAGAAGAAAAATATATATCCAAAGTTTGATCCTGGGGTAAATCTATGTTATAAAGACTGAAGTAGAGCAAATTGCATTTTTTAGAAATAGGAATTATAAGTATATTAGAACTTTTTATGCCTTCTAGAAAAGCCACCAAATTCTTCAGTTATGTTGATAAAGAGACTACCAGAGAGTCAATCTCAAGCAATCAGCATAAAAATGCCTATTATCAGAGCTGGTGATATATGGACAGGTACTGGTAGGTTGAACTAAAAATGAAAGAATAAAATTATTCTAATTAAATTTTCTTTAATTACATGGCCAGCAGTCTTGACATGTGTTGAACTCTCTTAAATAGAAGCAAAAACCACAAACCAACCCAAACTCCAACTACTCACATTTCCATGTCAGCCATGGCTACCAAGCATCATAATCTTAATCTTGGATGATGATGACATACAAAGTTCTGAGTTAAGTTCTCCTAGAACCAACAAGCTCTACTTACTCCCCCCATGACAATACCTTCACATTAGATCTTTAATCCCTGTATAATAAATTACTCTACAGAAACATAAATGCATCCATTAGCAAACATACTATGTTTTTGACTATTGGTGTCAAAACTAAAAAAGGAAATCATGTTTATTAGCAATATTAATAACTTCAGTATGTCATTTAAAAAATAATAAAGTACTGTCA